AGATCTTTGACTTCTTTAGTTAGATTAATTCCAAGGTATTTCATTTTCCTCAGTGCTATTGTAAAAGGTATTGTTTCTATAATTTCCCTCTCAGTGTGTTTGTTGTCTGTGTAGAGGAATGCTATTGACTTTTGGGTGTTGACTTTTTAACCTGCTATGCTACTGAATTTCTGTATTAATTCTAGTAGCTTCTTGGTGGATTTTTTGGGTCTTCCAAGTAAAGTGTCATGTCATCTGCAAATAAAGATAATTTAACTTCTTCTTTACCTATTTTTATTCCTTTTATCTCTTTCTCTTGTCTAATGGCTATAGCTAATGATTCCAGAAGTATATTAAATAGGAGTGGTGACAGAGGACATCCTTGTCTTGTACCAGATCTAAGAGTAAAAGATTTCAGTTTTTCTCCATTTAGAATTATGTTAGCCATTGGGTTTTCATAAATGGCTTTTGCCAGATTGAAGTAGAGGCCATCTATTCTGTAGACCAATATTCTGTAGGACTTTGAACATGAATGAGTGTTGGACTTTGTCAAAAGCCTTTTCTACATCAATTGAGATGATCACGTGGTTTTTAGTTTTCATTCTGTTGATATAGGACCTGAGTTCAATCCCCAGTTCCACACACACACAAAAAAGAAAAGAAATCATTCTATTGATTTAGTGTATTACATTTATAGATTTTTGAATATTAACCATCCTTGCAACCCTGGGATGAATCCTGCCTGGTTATGGTGTATGATTTTCTTGGTTATTTGCTGTATTTTATTTGCTTGGATTTTATTGAGGATTTTCACATCTATGTTCATGAGGGAGATTGGCCTGTAGTTCTGTTTCTTAGTTGTGTCTTTCCCTGGTTTTGGTATCAGTATAATACTTTCCTCTAGGAATAATTTTGGGAGGATTGTTTCCTTTTCAATTTCATTGAAGAATTTGAGGATTATAGGGACTACATCTGTAAATTTCTTGTAGAATTCAGCTGTGAATCCATCCGGACCTGGACTTTTCTTTGTTGGTAGGTTTTTTTTATTATATTTCATATTTCATTAGCTGTTATTGGGCTATTGAGAGTGGTTATTCTTGTCGATTCAGTTGTGGTAATTTGTACCTTTCTACGAATCTGTCCATTTCTTCTGTGTCTTCTATTCTGTGA